AAAAAAAAAAAAAAAAAGCAATTATTTGTAAATAAATGTGTCAAATTTACAAATTCAGCATATTTTGGGGTTGTAAAGTATGCCTCGTCTTCTTGCTTCAAAACTATTTTTTATATAAATATTTCAAAAATCTTTCATATGTAGGTGTAAACGCAATTAACGTAACATTGTAGAATTAAGACAATTAATCTCTAAATGCATTTTTTTTTCCCTGTGCAGAGTAAAGTGATGAATCATTTCCAGGAAATAAAGTCTTGTGACTACAGTCCCTTGGTCTAATGGTCAGAGAAAGCAAAGATCATTAGGTATAACATATCAAAAGTGAAACAATGTGCCTCATGTGCACTTAGGCAGCATTTCACATATTGATTACATTCTGCAGCACACGAATCATAGGCCAGAAGAAAAAAAAAATCCATTTATACCATTTAGCAGGCACAATTTATATTGATTCAATTTCAGCAGTGCTTCTTATGTTACAGTAACACTCTTTCACTGGATGCTGGCCCTTCTCCACCCTGGTCTGGAAAACACTGCTGCCACTCGTTTTAGGCGTCAGATAAAAATAGTCAGAATTACAACACCTACGAAAACGGAACTAAATTACTAAGCCAGCCTTAGAAATGATAGACACTGGGGCAAGATATGCAATGAATTTCACAATAATAAAATGAAACGGATAAACCACTGATATTATTATTTTTTTTGTCCTCCATGAGTCACATCCTACTGAACAGCCTGTTTCAATCTCTTAACGACAAAGGAACAGGAATGTAGCTTACACATGAACAGTTTTGAACTGCTGTATCTGTGAGCTGATCAAATATCATACAAATGCATTGTAATTGGCTCTGATGTAAACATAATCCTGCACTGCCCCTTTAACAATGCTCTGTCTCCAATACATCCACCTCAGATGTATAAACTGTGTTGTATGCTACATGGATATTGAATAATTTAATAGAAGAGATGTCATAAATATATCTGCACAGTGTTGTAAGCCCATGTATTTTCAAGTACCACCTGCTCTACTTTGGGCTGGCTTTAGTGGAACTCAGATGAGAAGCTATTCATAAGTAAATGAACTGTAATGGAAAGGTAAACTTAAACAGCTATTAAAATAAGAATCCACCTTAGGCCAAGCTTCCGATTCAATTCAACCAATGTGCTAAAACATCTTTAAATCGCAGTTTTCAACATCATTTTAAACTCACAGCAGCCGTAGTGAATTTTGAGGTCCAGGTTGGTGAAAAAACTTCTGTTTCATAAACTCCGACTTGTGATGTTTTCTTGTTCATATTTCCTACTTGTAATTTCTATTTGTGGAAATTTCTATACAAAACATGCAGAAGAAATAAAAGTTGTTCTTCCTTCTTCCACAACAAACAGAAGAAGTAGCTTTACCACAGAACTATTATTAAACTATCTTGACACTATCATGGTACTTAGTGGTACTTCTAATTAACAGTTTGAGAACCACTGTTCTAGGCCAATGCAATGGGACAAGGCCACAATACCTGCAACTATATATCTGCATGAAAGCTTCAAACAGGTACACAGCTCATCTATGCTTCTGACATTCATGTAAATTGAACAAAAATCACAGCATGTTGTCAGCTGTGTGTTAGTGCAGACAGTGCTCAGTATGACACTGGAATTACATTGAAATTAAGGAAAACAAATGACAAACAGGTTAATTAAATCACAAGTTAAATGACCAATTCAGGAAAAAATAAAGAATATGTGGCGATTACATGACAGGCTAAATATGTAAAGGGCTGAACAGCAAGTTGTTAATATTTGCTGACTGCACAATTATAAAGCATTTGTTGCATATCATGTTAACAACTGTCTTTGTACATTCCAATATTTTCATCTATTTATTGATGAAAATATGGATTTCAAGCTGGACCTGTTACCACATAAATCCAGTGGTAGCGTACACAGACCAGACATCAGCTCATAATCATGTGACATCATGTCCTTTACAATAAGAAAGGCAGCACAAGCTCGCGCTTATATAAAGAAGCTTGCACACTGAAACATCGAGGCTGTAAATACACATTGTTACTGCAGCTAGAAGTTTCAATAGTCATCATTACAAAGTTAGACGAATTTAACCCTACGACAATATCCGGGTTTGATTCAAAAGAAAATCAAGTCGGCATTTTAGCGGACATAATAAATATCTGCATTTATCCATCTACTCTCAACTAAGTAACTAAGTTGAATAGGTATTAGGGGTAAAGATGCGGAATACAGGAAACATGTAAAACATGAAATGAAGCTAAAACGTGTTTTGTATGTGTATTACATTCTTATAGGAGACAATAGTCACCATTTATTCTTTAACTTTATATGAATCCTTTGAAGATTTTACGAAGAACTAACAACTAAATAACCCGTTCTTCCTGAGATTTAGTGAATTGTAAGATGCTTGGTAAGTTTAATACTAATGTTACACAATTGTAAGATGCTTGGTAAGTTTAATACTAATGTTACACAACGACATTCGCGATTGCGGTAAAGCTTTTACTTTGAAAGCAGCAGGGAAACAGTTGGGCTCCGACAGCGAATCAATAACAAGCAAAGCAGAAAACTTGCAAACGTCGGTACTGCTGTGATCCCTGAGACTGTTTTGCAGCAAACGTAAATCATTTTGCAATATAATAAACTTAAAGATCTCTCCCCAAACCCTCTGCGTGGGAACGGTTCTATTTATAAATGTGTGTGGTACACGCTATTGAGAGAGACGGCTTTCACCTACCTCCTGCTCAGTGTCTCCCTGTTCCGACACTCCAATCTCACTGGGCAGCTCGGCCAGATCCGTGACCCGTATGAGTCCGTCATGGAGAAATATCGTCTCCTCCTTCACCGAAAGCCACTGGGACGAGTCCACAGCCCCGGAGCCCATCACTCTCTCCTCCGACAGTGATGCCGAAAGAGGCAAACATTAAAAATTCAGTGACAGAAAGTCAGAAACGCCCTAGACAGCCTGCTAACCACCTACAACAACATAACTGCCTTAACTGTCGCAGTCTTATCTGACGGCGGAGTCTGGCGGAGCAGACTGTGGTGCTGGGAGGAACCTAACACACGACAGCCCGACAGCGAGCAACCAGCACCGGCAGCCCCCGCTCCACACTACATCACTGCCGAGCTAACAGCTGCTTTTGCCTGGCTGCCTTAACTAGCCGGAGCTGAGCTAGCTTACCGTACGGTACCGTTTTAACGTTACCGACCACAGTGGGCGTGACACTCGCGCTAAAGCCAGTTACCGCGTCGCTGTTTGCACAACAGTCCATTCAGGGCCCGAACTGCATCTCTGGCGATCTCATTTCACGTTCAAAACGTCCTCGCAGACAGCTCCGGTCCCGGCCAAACCGCTGTGTCAGAGCCTGGAGGAGATAACGGGAGTCACCAGGCCATGTTTCCAAGGCCAACTGACGGCTCCCAGCATGCATCGCGCCAGAAGAATAGCTGTCTAGCTGTCAAAAATTCATGAGCTTATTCATACACATGACTCAGTATGAGACTTTTCATTTTTGTTTATTTATTTTTTTCTGAATTAAGAAAATACTTTTTGATGAAATGTAAAAATTGATAGATTTTTACATTTCAACAGACGTGAGTTGTGAAAAAAGCTGAAAAAAAAAGCTTAATAATTCCTATTTAACCATAAAATAATTGAAAAGAATACACACTGGTGTAAAATTTTCTTTTCCCCATTCCTGGTTTTCTTTTTGTTCACTTGTGTTACCCTGCAATGTGGCTGAATTACAGTGAATTATGATGAATGCAGACTGTTGCTATTTAGGGTGGACCAACCAATTAGTAGAATTAGTGGGCAATTACTTTCCACCCGTAAAACCATGTCTGACATTTTTTTTCTTCCTTATGAATGTACAACTTGTTTACTTTTGTTGTCTTTGGTTAATATATAAATTGGTTTAACGTTCTGAGACACTGAAGTTTTACAGACATCCGGAATAATCAGAAATCAGGCATGGGGGCAAGCATTTTTTCATGCCACTGTAGATTTAATTTGTAAACGAATATTTTGGAGGTTTTTTTTCCTCCGTCGCCTGTATCTGACTCTGTGTACGGCCCCACACATAAGTAAATGTGACAAACACAGACAGTATGCCTATCTATGTATGTCCAGTGAGGTCAAAAACTTTTAACTTTTAACTTTTTCTTTCCTGCTTAAAATATCCTCCTGACTACCAGTAGTTCATTTTGTTCATTTTTGTCCTCTGTAGAGGACAAAAATGATACTTGATACTTGAATATCTTTTCAATGATACCACATCTGAAGGGGTGGGACTTTTGTACGTACCTTTTTGTACGCAATTCATAAAAATGGCGTTCATCAGTAATAACACATTTTATGGGAAGAGACAAAGTAAGTGCATAAAACCTTTTATTACCTTACAAAGACTGTGGGATTTAAAAAAAATGGTGATTGGACAATATTTTTATTCCTGGTAGTCAGGAGGATATGTGTTGTTTGCAAATCATTGATGTTTTGCCAATTCAAGTCATTAGACCACTCTGGCATTCCATACACATCAGAGGCGCTAATCAAAGATAGTATGCTCTTCATATTTTCTACTAACAAATTCACACTGGACACATCTGCTCAGCAGCGGGTTCTCCAAGGTACAGAAACCAGGAATTGTTTTTGAAACCGCTCTTTATTCTGATGGATTGACATATAAAACTTCACACAATTGAACAGTGACATGCTAAAGATTTCAACAGACAAGATGCACCACACCACCAAGAAATAACCTACTAGCAGTTTTCCAATCCTCCATATTATCAACCTTTACCGGAGGCACACTCTCAGACTTGTGCAACAATATTGGTCATTTATTTTTATGATAAACCAAAAAAGGCGTTTCTGTGAGCAGGGAAAAATAAGGGAAATGCATGAAGCACATTCATGTCAAAACTTGTTTCTTTTGGTAGTGGAAGATGAAATGATCTTCAAAAAATAGTTCTCTATGAAACATGATGAAGCTCTTAAGCAGCCTAGTTACCGCACACAGCTCAGTCTATATTCATTTGAGCTGTGCCATGATATCCGCTCTCATCTGCAGCCTTAGGCAATACTTATGAAGACGGAGAGGAATCCTTTTTTTCCTGCCACTGGTTGAAAATCTCATCGCAGCAGAGTCTTTTTCTTCTTCTCTCTTCCTAAGTGCTTGATGTAGTTCAGAGGCCTTAGTGAAACCTCCAGAACATCTAGAAAGGAAACATAAAAAATATATCAACAAGTGAAATCAGTCTTTTAACTAGTTGTACAGACAATCTGTGTGTAGGCTTCCGACAAGATACGTTGCTTAGACAAGAACTTTAAGGCTTGATACCTCTTCGTGCGATTACATTTATTCTCCTTTGGCAGAGTAAAGCAGTCTTGAGAGACAAATTCCCTCAAGAGAGAGCGAGGAGGACTTGGTTTCTTTACATTTTTGATTTGAACTGCCAAACTGCGGGATCAGAAAAACCCAAGCAAGATTGTTCGTCTTGTATTAGATTTGACAAATTCACAAGCAGCAATAAAGTCACATATCACAGTTTAGGAATGTGAATAAAAGCATGCAATATGATTAAAAGTGAAAGAAACATTTTTACCGGCTTGTGCAGTCACAGTGATAGGCTGTCTTGGACTTCATGTTTGTCAGATTATATTTCTTCGCCAAAGGTGGAATTTTAAATTTACAATCATCCAGATGTTTGAGGCTTCGGCACAGGAGCTCATTATCTGATGACGCCAAAACGAACAAACATCTTTAAACGAAGTTTCGACCATCTGATCCAAACTTTCACTCAACTATACAAAAGGAAATGTCCTAGGAGGTTCAGGAGCAGCCTAGAAACCACAAAGTCTGATAAAAAAATGGATGATGTTGGAACATAGAAAAGCCAGTTTAGCGTTAGTATGTATGAAAAGGTTGTTGTCCAAGAAAGAAGCGCCTGCTCCAAATGTGACTTCCTAAAGCATTACACATATTTGTAACTTTCCACATGGCGCCAAAGATTTTTTAATAACAGATTTGGTTAGAAAAGATAAAAATTAGGTGTTTGTTCACAATGACAAGAGTGTTTAGCAGAACCAAGAAGAGTTGTCAAATATCTATCCAGAATTAGGCCAGAAGCCTGATGACGGCTGCAGAAACTCCAGAGGTTCTTGCTCAAGAACATTTAAACAAATATTACTGGGGGTATATGTATGTACATGTACACGTAAATTGGAATATGCATTTACAAAAAGACTTGTTTGTCAGAATGAAAAGTAATTTTTGAAAGTAAAGCATTTGAAATAAATATTAGTTGTAGTTTTCATTCGGCCAAACAACCAGAAATGAGTATTTGCCAGTAAAAAGCTGAAACTGTCATGTCATTATTCACTGAAAATTCCCATAGAGACAAGAAAACGTCAAAACAGAACTTATGAAATAGTAATGTCACAACTGAATCCAATATAAAATATTGACAGATGAACTAGTTAATTTGAATTTCCTAGACTGTTAAAAGCCGACCCGTCAAATGGCATTTCAGGAGTCATTTGGGGATTTAGTAAGAAGATTGTGCAAAAAGCTCCCGAAAAGAAATAAGAATTGAACAATATTTATATTCACCACAAAGAGAAGCAGAAGCTGATGTTGATCTAATCGCTGCATGTGAGCAGGCCATCCTTTTGCTTCAAAGGTAACCGCATTCACTCACCTGTCATATTACGTTTCTCATCGTTTTTTACCAGGACGTTCTCTGCACGGATCCTTTGGGTGGTAGTATGACCCAAGGGCTGCTGACCTGCCTGCTTCCACAATACATGGAAATCCAACTGCTTTTGTGGTTTGTCCTTTTTATGAAGAGAGGCCATCATCTTTTGTTCTCTTGTAATGGGGGTTGCAACCGTAGCTGCACTCCAAACAGTTGCTAGAGTTTCCTGGCTGGGTGTTCCTGCTTTATATTTCAAACGTGTTCTCTTATGATTGACTGTCAATCCCCCTGCATATGTATTTGTCGGCGTAACGGTTGTTGTGGGAGTTACTGTTTGTTTTACACAGATTTTACAGTGCAGCCGAGGAATGTCCCCACTCACAGACATGCTGGATCCACAGCATTTACCGTGCTTTGGGGCTTTCTTTTTATCTTTTGCTTGTTTGGTTACTCCTTTGACATTTGTTGAGTCTTCCTGAAAATTCAGCCTCCTTGTTAATGCTGGAAAATGCAAAGGTATCGCTTTAGGTGATATTTGTGTCGAGGTAGTTGCAGGGATGGCTGGTGGAATGTTGCTTTTCTGTGCACCATCAGAAAAATCCTTTCTCCTTTTCTTCATTTTGTCGCCTCTTTTCCTTGTAGAAATATGTACCTTCTTGACTGTTTTGGGCTTTTGTGAAGGTCCTTCTCCAGAGAGCTTTTCTTGCCTTTTGCATCCATTCGCCTTTGTCCTTCTGCGGTGAAATGTATCTCCTCTAGGTGGGTCTCTGAGGCCACATCTATGTTTAGATTGCGACGCCTTCCTCTGAGGGTTAGACGCAGGCCTCTGAGATAAATGCTGATCTTTACTGCTTGTTAAATTCTTGCCGTCTGTGTGAACATGTTTGCCTATAACATCAGAGCTATTGAAAGGTTGGGGGCTTTTGAAGACGGCATAAGGAGCCTCACTGGCCTTTTTGCACCTACGGAGAGAAAACATGCACAGAGTGAAGCGATGAAATAAAAGATTGCATGAAAATTACAAAAAACATGAATTAGGATTTTTGGTCATATTCAAGTACAAAGAAAAAAATTTATTACCAATTGACTCATTTAAAGGTACAGTGATTCATGTAAATGTGGTAAAGCTGTACAGGTACTCAAATTCTTGATTATTTTCAAAGTTTTCCCAAATTAAACAGTTCCACTGCTTTACAAGAGCTAGTTCTTAAGTGTTGATCTTAGTGCAGAGCTGATTTGGCATTTGATTATTGTTCTAATTAGACAGATAAAAAAAAACTAAAGAAGCAACAGCACTTATTTAGAAACAGAACCACTTTGGTGGATAAATTCCCTTTTTCATCCTAATAATGCCAAATGTACTTGTTTTTCAAAGATATTTTTGTATGTCTAGTCAAATCACACCACACTAAAAATAAACTAAGGTTAAAATATGAACTTACGGCAGCAGTGATGCAGCTTAACATTAAAATCGCATCAAAATATACAGCTTACAATCACAGGTCATGGATGTATAAAGGAAACTGCAGTTTCTGAAAGTGACCGATTGCTATGCAAATTTCTGCTCTAGTGGTCTTTATTTGCTGTTTTTAGACAGGATATATTCAAGAGAGAAGGGAGGAAGACATGCAGCAACAGCAGGCGGTAAACCTGGGCTGGCTGCTTCGAGGACTAATAACCTCTGGATATGGACTTAGACCCACCATACTGCAACGCAAATGAGGCATTTTTGACACCCACGTTTCTTCTGCCCTCTGGTGGAGGAGCTTCTGTTGTTATTTCATATATCAGCAGCAGAAAGGGTAAAAATCCACCAAACATTAAACAATATACACCCACACATAAGACAAGTCTCTACTGTTCTTCTTGAAATGAGAAAGAAAGGTAGTACAATCAGAGGAACATAAGATAATGCACCCACAACTCAGGCAGTAATGACTTAAATGTCTACTGCACAAACTGGAAAGAGACTCTCTGTCTAAACTACAGTTCTGTGGCTCTTTAGGTCGTCCGCAGTGCCTCATAATGCCTCTGACAGATAATATTACAGAACCCCGCAATGTTTTGATATTAAAGGGCAATAAGGAAGACTTTCACTCCAAGAGTGAGTTTTTCAGTAGCATTACTGAAGAACAGTAATGCTACAAGATGTATCTCAAAATGGTTCAGTGTGTTCCTTTTTCTGATATCAATGTACTTTTTGAAATTACTTGCTTGACATTTTGTTCCACAGTATAGAACATTGCTTCCAAGAAATTGCAACCATCCACCTCATTGTAAAGATTTGATCTTTGTCCTTTTTTTATTACTAAAAAAAAAAGAAAAAAGAAATTAAATTCTGGTTATTTATTGTAGTAGGTTTGGGGAAAATGCTATATAGTGCTGTGTGTAGTGTTGGGAAAACATAGAAACATTATTAATATACGACACCTAAAAGCCAACACCTGATGTACCAATTAAGAAGCAAAATAATTTTTAGGAATCCATGTAATTGTATTTATTTATTTTTTTTATATTCTAAAAAGAATCTAATAAATTCTTCAGGCTTAAGAGTTCATTTTCTGACCATTATTTCTTTGACTGTTAAACATTTCTAATTTTTTTTTACTCTCCTTGACACCAAGATAAGCCTACAGAGCAAAAACATGGTTAAAATCTTTATTTAGAGTTTATTTAGCAAGTTTGAGAGAAAAACGTGGCTTAGTTCAACATCTCCATGAAGAAAATTCCTGTTTTTCTTAAAAACAAATGTTCTGCCTATAAATATGCAGTCCAAGCAACAGCATCAGTGTGTCTGCCTCGCTTACATCCCCCACCAGTACATCTGTGTGCAGTGCTTCAGCTGCTTCAGCTCAAAGCAGGGAACCTTCAGGATGTTGAAGAAGCTGTAGCCCACCATACTTGAAATGCTGTCGTTCATGCCCAGAAGGCACTGTCGAAACCTGACAAACGGAGAGCAGGCAAAGGTTAAGAAAATATTCAGTCACTCAAATACCATGTAAGAGCTCCGTACCGCTGCCTTGTTTTATTCTTTTTCTGAGCTTGTACTTGCTTGAGCTGAATAATAATCTACTATCTTGGAAACTGACATGAAAAAAAGTAGAGGAATGATGTGGTGCAGATTTCAATATTAGATGTGATCTCAGAATAAAACAGGATTCTCAATCACTGCAAAAAAAGGGGGGGGGATGGATGGATGGAAAGAAAGAAAGGAATGCCCATCGAATGACATTATAGAAAACATGTTCACTCTTGAAAGAAACACTTTGCCTGGAAGACGTTGCCATGAAGTTAAATTGATAATAAAAAAAAACATCTCCAGATTTTCTTAAGCGTGTTTCAAATTTTTGAATGAAATATGAAGATGTCAAACCATAAAACTTCCAACATGTTGCTTCAAAGCATCCCTAGGTGCAGCCAGCGCAGTATGAGGGGATGTAATTTACTGCTTGCAGGAGTTTTCCCAGAAGGCACACATGTATGAAATCCAGAACTCACTTTAAGTGGTGCATTCGGAGTCTCACCTTTGGTCACACTCGCAGTGTGAGACTGTGAAGAAATTGGGGTTGAAGACTCCATAATTCACTGTGAAAGCTGGGATGATGTCTGAGCAGTGGTCGTGTTCACGGCAACACTTATCTGCTCTCTCGAACATGCCTGCGAACGAGAGCGGGACCTTGATGTCAAAGGCTGTTTGCATGAAGAAAGTTCAAGATTTAAGCTCAGTTAACATGATTTTAATTCAAATTGATTTTGAGGTGGGAGGCAGCGGTTTTGAAATAAACCCAACATGTCTAATGTGAAAAGAAAAATATTGCAGAGGTAAATGCATCAATAATGTATATTTGATTTCTCTTTTAAAACATTGGAACATCTACCATGACTTGCAAAATACTCATACGCCCTTTGCAGATTTTGTCACATTGGGACTTGAAAAGGATAGATGTTACCTGGTGCATATTTTTTCCCATCCTTTTGTCTAAGGATTAAAAACTTTTATTAAAAGATGGATGGATGGATGGATGGATGGATGGATGGATGGATGGATGGATGGATGGATGGATGGATGGATGGATGGTGTCCATTTGTATTCAGACCCTCTGAATCAGAGCTTCTTATTGCCATCTTGTGGTCTTATTACAGCTGCGACTCTAGAAAATGTGTATTTTGTCAATTTTTTACTTTTTGTATTTGCAAATCAGCTCATGCTCAGTAAGAATGTACATGGAGAGACAGTGGACATTCATTTTCAAGTGCTGTCACAGATTCCCAATTTTGCATATATCTGGACTTTTACTGGGCCAGATGCCTTAAGGTGAACCTCCACCCCAGAATAAAGTCTTTTGCCGCTTTTTATTGGATTGGTGCTGGGACTGCCCTGTATTTAGCTCCATTTACCTTCGTAATGTGACAAATTTTGAAATAAAATAAAAAAAAATGCAAGGGGAGAATAGCTGTGCTGCTGCCTTGCACTCTTTTTCCTCACTTCATTGCAGTCATATGAGATAAATGGAAAATCTTCCCAGATTTTTTCCATTCTCCCAGAACACATGCAGCTGTAGGCTATATACCATAACAAATCAGTCCATCAATCAATCAAATTTTATTTGTATAGTACGTTTCAGCAACAAGGCATTTTAAAGTGCGTTTTATGATAAAAATAGAAAAATGCTAAATCAAGCACACAGTCAACAACATTACATTTTACACATCAGATTATTGATTAATAGTTTCATGGTTATGTTTCAAAAGTAACTCTAAACAGCTGGGGTTTCAGTGCAGATTTAAAGGAACTCAATGTTTCGGCTGTTTTGCTGTTTTCTGAAAGTTTGTTCCAGATTTGTGGTGCATAGAAGGAACAAGAGCAGACCAGAGACAGAAGACAAAGCTGTAATATCTCAAACAGAAAAAGCTAAAAAAAAAAAAAAAAAAAAAAAAAAAAAAAAAAAAAAAAAAACAAAATTTAAAACATTATAAAAAAAGAAAACCCACCCA